AGCCACGTGACCAATTTTGTACCACATGTTCACATCAGTGGAATCCAACATGACAGCCTGAGAACAGAGCAGAGCAGAATATATAGTAAGAACACCTGCCAGCGTTATTCATTCGTTCATTGAACTTAATCAAGTTAAAGTGGCACATTACCTCTAAGTAAAACTCCATAGCGGTCTCCAGGTCATCCCGTAATGCAGCCATACTAGCCAGATTTTTAAAAGTTGAATATTTCAGCATCAATCCGGGGTGCTTGAGGCCCACTCTCTGATCATCAGAGGGCATGGCCTGAAATATTAAGAGGATACATTAGATTCAACACCAAACCCGTGGGGTCTTGATAAGATCAAGCAAGGTAAATAATGTCAACATGGCCAATTTTATATAAGCAGTGAAACTGAATTCTATACAGAAAATGGTTAACATGATATGTTCATAATGACACAAAGTATGAAAATGTATGTCCTGAGAAACACAAATGGAAGAAAATCTGCAACAATGTGTGAAACTTTAAATATCACAGATCACCACTTTAGTCCTCATGATCAAATGAGCCTCCAAGCTGGCTACGTGTGGTGTTTCAGTTTGAATTTTAAATGCACTGCACTGGTCTCATTGCAATTCACAAACATGGGATGCAGGATGAGCTCATCGGGTAGGGTGCTTAGGATGAGTTTCAGAGCTTGAGCCCTTTCGTTCAGCTCCTGGAATTCTGGCACTTTCCTGTCAATTATCAACTCCTCCATATTATCTGCAGCCATGCAAATTATAGCCTCTTAATAGTTCATTTTTAGGTTTTTCTTTTCCAACATTTTGATAACAGCATCCTGGGTAGGTTCAGGGGCTCCTTCTCTGCCTTTATAAAAGCTGTTGTCAAGGTCTGCGCTGCTGATAAATTGATTTTCTCCAGCTCTTTAAAGAGAAACATCACAGCGTAGAGAGCCATCGGAGCAAGTGAGGCAGCGTCTGCTTCATTCTTTATGTCTCCCGTGGTCATCCTTGACCAAGCGATGGACCTCTGTGCGTACACACATCCACTGATGCCGGTTTCACCACATTCAATCAGTCATGGAGACTGACAGAATGGGAGCAGACAAGGATCTTGGGTGAGATGGCTGTCAGTGATGAGAATACCGGCGCACTGTTGACTGGATGGTGGAATTATAGAAAAAAATTAATTACCTCTATAGGTAATGCGCTAATTTTAGAACAGCTTTAATTTAAGGAGCGCCACAGTTGTTAGCACTGTAGCCTCACAGCTACAACGTCCTAATTACGAATCCACCATCTGACTGGGGCAAAGCCATGTTGCGTTTGCATGTTCTCCCCATGTTTTTGTGGGTTCTCTCCGGGTACTCCGGCTTCCTGCCAGAGTCCGTCTCAATATGTTAGCCCTGCGATAGATTGCTGACCTGTTCAGGGTTTACCCTGACTCTCGCCCTGGGATAGCTGGGATAGCCGGGATAGCCCACCCACCCCCACAACCCTGAAAAGTGTAAGAGAATGGATGGATGGATGGGATGTTCTGTGCAACAGTTTGTGTTGGTGTGTTTACCTCTTTGAGCAGTGGAGTTTTGAGAAGCTCATGGTAGGCCTTGGCGGACTCCTCAAATTTATCATGTTTCTGCAGATCCAAAGCTTTGTGATATAAAGCGAATGCCTCTGCTTCCTATTGACAGAAACAAACGGGGGAATACAACTGACTTAATGGGATGTACAGAGATGAATGACTGCATCAGCAGATAGAACTAATATTGCTTATTCATCAGCATATAGTATTTAGCCTACTTGAGCCTCTTTTGTCTGACTCTTGCTGTTTCTCAGGGGGTCTTGAGACTCGTCTGCAGCTGCCGAAGCAGCATTTAGTGCTGCTATGCGAATCTGTGTAAAAGGGCAGAGAAAAAACGCTTTACCATGCAGTAATCTGTCTTGGGCAAGGGAGTGTGCGCAGTTACAATGAGGATGTAGCTGACGCTGTGATTCAAGGTCTTACCATTTTAATATTTGAAAAGCAGCTCTTCTGCCTTCACGGTTCGCAGATTTCGTTGAATGCAAGAAAAACAAAAAATACACTGCAAAGCCATTTAGTATGTCCTCTGTGTCTTTTCCATTTACTGTTATATATTCATTTGAGTGTATGTGAGAGCTTTGGGCGTACACAACCTACAACACAGAAAAGCAATGCGAGCCGGCGTTTCTATCACGCCACGTAATTGCTCTTTAAAGAGGAGATTACGAATACTTGGGACCGACTAGCTCACAATACCGACACGCCATTCAAAACCAAACCTGGTTAACTTAGCTCTCTGTAAACGATATTTCGCTCTTAGCAAATAATATACAGGACTCTGGAGAGTAGATGCTAAACGTAGCTCAGTTTCTCCAGCTAGCCGAAATTAGCAGAGACGTGTGTGAGCTAACTGTAGCTTGTGGTCCGCCGGGCGACCGTCACCTCCAGAGCTCAGCGACTTACCATTCATTCTCAATTAAACTGCACCTATAAAGTTTCAGGTACTCGAGCAACATAACAAACCCTGAAAACTCCGCGGCTACGAAGCACGAAGCAATTTAGAAACTTAACCTATACATCATCCTTTGTTGTTGTCAACCATGGATGAGACTCTGAGAATGTTTGCGTCATTGGATGACATTTGCCACCCGCCAATCAGTAACGTGGTCACTGATTGGTCAATACCCAGTGGGCGTACTCTTAAGACCAACGATACTGTATGATATTGGGTGACACCGTCTGGGTTCGCTGTATTACTACACCGCCGTACGCTGTAACAAGTGTCGGATATCCTGAGTTCCGACAAGGAAAAGAGAACGCCGACTGAAAGAGCATTTATTACATAGCTACACGCTACCCAAGGAATACACTAAGGTAGCCCAATTGTTGGAATTAAAAAGAATATTGTATATTATCCTAATCTGTGCAACAGAAACCCAACCTGCCAAATGCGTAATCTTGCATAGTGTTATTTTAAACTACATCGGTGACCAATCAGGAACGTCTATATATAAAATTGCAAATTAAAGGTTGGGGCAAAATCAGGTCGGTCAGAGGGATGTGCACTTGTTATTGGTTATATCTTTATTTTCCAAATGTGGATGCTCCGCGAAATAACATTATATCTTTATAATAGTGTCGTGCGTATATTTTAGTGGTTAATTAAAATGGGAATAAATGATCCTGTTGCTGGTAATTATACTATCATTGATCATCAATCATACTAATTGAATAGACCGGTTTTCTCAGCAAGTAGCCCATTAAAAAGCCCCTCTGCGGTCTTAAAGCCTCATTGGGGCAGCAGGCTATTTAAACAGCACGATGTGCATGAGTGGCTCGTTACAATACCTGTGCCAGCTTCCTAAAAACGAATATGAACTTTTAATATGCAGAGAATACTTATCCCCTCTTGACCAAAGTTAAAATAACTTCATCAGAAGCTAGGCTAACAGTAGTATGTCAAGTCTGCGCAGAGGTCCATTCGTTAGTGTGTACTAGTATCATGGTCCACAGTTAGATAGGTAAGCAAGTGCACAGATTTGGTAAAGATAACACCGAGGGATTTGGGAACAGCCTATTGCAACAAATACTTTGAGCAGAAAAATCAGTAGCCTTATACATGTTTGTTTGTATGTTTACTTGTTCTCATCAAAGTCCAAGCTATTAAATCTTCAAACAACTGTGTACAATTAGACAAAAAATGTCCAAACAAAATGTTGTGTTTCTCCTGAACCATTACTAACTTATCAATTATGCATTAATAATGGCAACATTTATTAATTTAATTTTTTTTCTTGATTTGCGACACTCCAAAACTGTATGTAAACGGCAAAACAGAAATACACACAAAGTTTGTAGTAAAATACATAGCCATCTACTTTTTTCCAAGTACGTCTTTAGACCGGTTCTGTAGTTCGGCCTGTGCACTATAAAGCTGTCTGCCCATGGATGGACGTGCATATGTTCTTGAGAATCCAATCCCTCATATTTACAAGATAAAAATGCAACCCTGTTTCCTGGAAAGCGGGGGTGTTGCAGCATAAGCAGCACGTGTGCATAACATATAAAATGTTGAAACTGAGACATGTTGTTTTATGAAAAATATCGCTTCATTTTGAATGTAACACCAACCACATACAGCCCATGAGTATTATTGAATTAATTTATCATATGTTTATTTATTCACCAAATATACAGTTCATATTGGCTAAATCAGGAGATAACAAGGTGTAAACGTGAACATTTGTTATAGATTAGTGCTTAAATATTTATAACCCTGTTTCCATCATGGAAACTTTCCTCACATACTAAGAACCATTCGAGTGACTCGTTTTTTTTTTAAAGGCGTGGATCAGGGTCTAAATGAGGTTCTGGAAACTTGAACATTGTGATCAACATTGTGACATGCATGGGAAACAGTCAACCACTAGAGGGCAAACTTTTATCTATAATCATGATCCAGTGTGTGTGTGTGTGTGTGGGGGGGGGGTTTCACCCTTTTTTCAGCACCCCAAGATGCTGAGCTGATTACCTTAGCAAACGTTTACTGTGATAGTTGGATCATAATAGAAATTTCACTGATACCTTTTCAGACACTGCTGACAAATTGTATAAAATTATGCAAAGCAGTGGCTATAAGATGGTTTTCCCTTTCTTCTGTAGTTTGCACAGATATGTGATAGAAAGATGAGGTCTTTGTCAGGGTTTCTGATGATGAACTGCAAGAAAACTGCAGCTTCTAGGTGTAACAGTATATCATCTTTGTCCTCACTGACCCTGTCTGTTGCAGTCCCTTGTTGCTCTTTCGTTGCTTCTCCCCCGCCTCCTCCATCCCTACACTCATCCTCACCCACCCCATCTCTTCCTTGGCTGAGACCGGCTGGCTGGCACTATTATCAATTCTTTCTGTCAGCATGCCTGCAACAAAAAAAAAAGAAAGAAAAAAAAAGCTTACGTCACAGTCATTACTGGCCCTATAAAAGTCAGAGTGATGCAGATTCACTGTGCAGTCGGCCCGGCAACATTCACAGACACAGAGCAGCCCGTCTCACTAGTCATGGCTTCCGCAGGCTTTGACCCTTACTTTTCTTCTGCTTACAAGAAGAGGGGAGTTGTGCGCAGCGGAGGATATGGGACTGGTGGAGGGGGAGCAGCTAGGTCTGCCTACTCCACCCACTCTGCCCCAGTAACTTCCTATGCATCTTCACGCAGAAGTTATCCTGCATACGCCCGAGCTACTTCCAGCTACTCCACCATTCTTTCTGCTCCTGTGCTTGCACCTGCTCCTGAGCTACGCCTTGACCAAGCAGCCCAAGTCAGCTCTGAATTCAAAGCAGTAAGGACCCAGGAGAAGGCTCAGCTGCAAGACCTGAATGACCGCTTTGCAAGCTTCATTGAGAGGGTCCATGAACTTGAGCAGCAGAACAAGTTGCTGGAGACTGAGCTCCTGCTGCTTAGGCAAAGGCAGACAGAGCCATCCAACATTCGGGCCCTGTATGAGCATGAGATCCGCCAGCTCCGTGTAGCTGTGGAAGAGGCCCGCCATGAGAAGCAAGCAGCCCAGGACCACAGGGATCAGATGGAGGATGTGCTGACGAACCTACAGAAACGGTATGAGGAGGAAGTGCTTGGCAGAGAGGAGGCCGAGGGCAGGCTCATGGATGCCAGGAAGGGAGCAGATGAAGCCACACTGGGCCAGGCCGAGCTTGAGAAACGAGTCGAGACCCTGCTGGAGGAGCTGGCCTTCCTGAAGCGTCTCTGTGAGAGTGAGATTGCGGAGCTGCAGGCCCAAATCCAGTACAGTGCAGAGGTGTCAGTGGAGATGGAGGTTGCCAAACCGGACCTGTCTGCTGCCCTCCGTGACATCCGAGTGCAGTACGAGAAGCTGGCACAGCGCAACCTGCAGTCAGCCGAAGAATGGTTCTGCAACAAGATGAATGTCATGACAGTGGGCGCCACTCGCACCACGGAGACTGCACGCAGTGCCAAAGATGAAGTTGGAGAGTACCGCCGGTTGCTTAAAGCCAAAATGCTGGAGATTGATGCCTGCCGCGAGATGAACCAAGCTCTGGAAAACCAACTACAGGAAGTGGAGGAGAAACAGAGTGGTGAGATTGCTGCACTGCAGGTGAGGCACAGAAACAGAGGAAGTGCAGTGACCTCTGTCTCTTTCCTGTGATAAAAAAAAAAGAAGTGATCCTTTGTTATTTTCTGTTACTCAGAGGAGTCACAGAGCAGATATTTAACTTATGTACATATAACATTTCTCTTTGTACAGGATACAATATGTGAACTGGAAGAAGAGCTGAGGGCAAACAAAAATGACATGGCTCGCTACTTGAAAGATTACCAGGACCTTCTGAATGTGAAGATGGCACTGGATATCGAAATTGCTGCATACAGGTAAGTGTCTTATACATAGTGTCCCACTGTCTTATATACTGGATGGTAATTGTGGAATACACAATAAAATGGGTAATTAGGCATCTCATCTTCTTGTAATGTGTGCTTTATCCTATCAGGAAGCTTCTTGAGGGAGAAGAGAATCGTTTGAATGTGGCAGGACCGATTTCTGTCACTGGGTACTCCCAAGCCATGTTTTCTGCTCCGTCCTATGGAAGAACGCAGATCTCCATGCATTCTCAGCTGAGCTCTGCAGCTCCATACCTGCTGAGCTCCCGCCTGTATACTACATCGCTGCCCACAGAGGAGACAATATCTGCAAGCCAAGCACAGCAGGCAGAGGCTAGCCTTCCCGAAGAGGAGGAAGAAGAGCAGGTGGAAGAGGAAGAGAAAGCTGAAGAAGAAGAAAAGGAGGAAGAAGAGGCAGAGCAGGAGGAAGGGGGGGAAGAAGAGGAGGAGGAGACAGCAGAGAAGGAAGGAGAAGAAGAAGAGGGAGAGAAGGAGGAAGAGGCAGATGCAGAAGGTTAGTGTGGTAAATTTCCATGTATGCCCCTGTGCGTGTCCCTGTGTGTATGTAGTGGGAAACTAATGTGATCTTTTATCTTTCTTCACCCCATTTTCATCGTGAAGAGGCTGAGGCAGAGGATGGAGAAAAAGAAGACGAGGAGGAAGGAGGAGAGGACGGCCAGCCTGAAGACGAGGAAGATGCCGAACAGAAAGAAACAGAGGGCGATGAAGAGGGTGAGAAGGAGGAAGAAACTGTAAAAGAAGAGGAGGCAGAGGCTGAAGAGAAAAATAGGAAAACAACAGATAAAAAAGTCTAACTTTACTCATTTTAAAAACAAAGTGCTAGCCTGTAGCTAAAAGGATGTTCCAAATCCTCTATTTGCTCTGATGTCTCATTCAAACCAAATAAAAATATCTTTAAAAAGTGCTGGTGACCTTCACCTCTGTGTGGTCGACACGAGTGAAAGCTTGTACCTGAAAGCATGTATGCACAGGTACACTCTGCAAAAGATTTAAATTTTTTTTACAAAGACAGGATGTGTCAGGAGTAGGAATTCTGCTTGGTGGAGAAATGTTTGCTGGTGCTTTACCTTAACCAAAATATGCTTATGTAACTGCCTTGTATGTGCAATAGCCTTCAAGTGCATCGTGTGCTGCATTGAACTCCAATAAAGCCTTGAAGTCTTCTTAACCAGAAGCCATCTCCTGGATTTTAATTTTTCCATACAAAAACAATTCGCAATGGTGTGTTAAATTGAGTCACATTTAGCATAAATAAAACGCATAAAAAGAAAATCATATTCAGCGTCCAAGTCCTGCGACTCACGTGCACATGTCAGGATGGAAATTTTTCCTTCTTAATTAGCCCCTGAGCTTCTTTTTCTTTCATTCAGAGTCTTAAAGCAAAATGCTACTGTTGCACTAGAATGTTAATGGAGGTTAATGGAAAAGTACAGAAATGGCAGCCAGAGGGCCTTGCTTCTGTTCACCACAATAAATCAGCTCACAACTGACTGAGAGGAGGAGGGCTGCAGCAAACCAGCACGGTCAGCAAGTCTGGATCATCTTAGGTCTTATTCAGCGAAAAAAATAAAAAAAACACACACCAGTCCACAATTAAAATGCATGAAAAACAACACACGACACAATAAATTTTCAGTGTATCGGGCAAGCATTAATCTTTTAGCTTTTCAACATGACAAAGCCAATAAAGTCTCCTTAGATTTCCAGTAACTTGTGAAACCAAAGGCTGGTGTTAACGAATTGTGTTAAGCTGGCGTTTTAGGCTTTTTAAGTCAGCAGGTCGTCCGCTGTCCCGTCTCTGTTTGATCAGCGAGCTGACACCGGTGTTTTTTTCCTGCTGCCTCACCCTCATCCACATCACTGTCCATAAATCAGGGCGCCCTGAAACCTTTATGACTCAGCTAGTCTGCTGCACCAAAGAATCTGGCAAAGTGTCAGCTCATGCAGAACAGCGAGGAGTGGAGGAAAAAGAGAGAGCAATTTCATTATTCCATTAGGGAGAAAGACAGACAGATTGAGGGTGGACTCGGGGGGTGGGGGCATTGGAATAGCTTGCTGCACTAAAACCTTGACAGAGGACAGACTGTCTTTATCCAGCAAATAGGTGGAGGATTTCAGGGCTTCCTTTAGGCATTTGCAGAGATGCAGCTCTTATCACTTAAGTAAACCCCAAACACACACACACACACACACACACACAGATGAGCATACACACAGATGCATACTTTCTTCCTTCTTCTTCGTGTCTAAATGGGACACACAAGTGGTTAGAAGTGCTGCATCATATAATTTTAAGCACATAATGGCCCTTTTAATTCATTCAGCAGATTTCCTACTCAGTGTCGCATGTATAAAGGCAATGCCCTAAACACTGTGCAGTATCTTTTGCCACTCTCTCGCCATCCCCCATGTCCTCACTTTACCTCACTCAGAGCTACACACACCCCCATCCTCCACGTTATGTTGCTCTTGGTTGCCACAGTAGAGTCGGTCCAGAGGAGCACTCCGTTTAATTATTAGAAATTCCACTTTAGAGTGAATTTGGCTTTGTGTTACACACACCTTTCACCACTCAGACAGAGCAATACAGCAAATGTGGGTTTTTTTACTGGATTAAAAGACCACTAATTACATACCACTGGGTGGATTATAACACACAAACCACGCTGCAGATAGAATGCTGAAAAGGGTATAAGGCTCCTCGGAGCAGAAATAGTAAACCACCAGTAGGATGTATAGCTATTCTCCCACTTGCCTTCCATACAGCTAGGGAGCCTCGCAAGGTTTTGTGCATGTGTGTGCCTACAGCTTGTGTGAAGCAGCTCAGGGCACAGTGGGGCACAGATCCCCTGTAAATGCAGCATATCAAAGCAAGGCTGTATTATTTTTATCACATTTCATCTCTCAGATACTGACTTTCAGCTCGTGTTTCATCTGTCACATTTGGGCTGTGAACGGACTGGTGTATAAATCTTATGACTCTCTTCCTCTTCTGGGCATAACACTATGTTAGAGGCAGGGAGGCCTATCACCGGGCCCACCGGAGACCTCCAAGAGTTACATCCCTTTGATGAAAAAAAAGAGAGAGAGAGAGAAAAAAAACAAAGAGCTGGAGGTGCAGCAGGAGATATTGACAAAAACCAAGCTTCCTGTAAAACTAGGTAAAAAAGGCTAGGTAAAAAAAAGTGTCAGGATTGTACAGTAAGTGTAAACTCTTGTTTTATGACGTAGATGAAATTAACTGATTCAACTTTGTGTCAGATTTAGAAAGAAATTACTAGCCAATAGATATACATCCACTCCCGTGTAAACACCCTGGCTCATTTGACATAGTCAACATTAAAAATTGATGATCATAACCTTCTGTTATGATCACTATCATTATAATTTCCAAAGGGTAAAAATCTCAGGAGTGGTTTGTAGATTGTTACAAATATCATGAAAGTATCGATAGTTTCAATATCAATGCCGATATTGGTATCGCCTCGATACTAGGGTGACTGATACGACCAAAATTTGCAGTCTGGCACAGCACTAATCTACAAAGCAGAATCCCAGCATTACTAATCTTTTGTGGTCTTTTATGGAATATTAATTAAGTTGTTTTTTTAAAACAAAAAGCTGCACTTTGATACACTCTGGTGTACATGCATAAGAAAACATGAGCATGAACTCTTTTTAAAAAAAAAACACTGCAGGAATGAATGCTTTCCATGTCTTTGGAAAGATGGTGTTTTCACCTTGAAAGCAGCACTTGTCGTCCAGATTATGGGTTTTAAATTGTGGGTGGGCGGGCATGTGCTCCCAGGCTCCGGTCCAGACAGTGATTGTGGTGGCACTGCAGTCTGTCTTTTTCTCTTTTTTTTGGATGGATGTTAAACACGGAAATCTGGATAAGAGTTGCAGCTCCCTCTGCTGATCTGAGAGAATCGTCTAATTAAAAAGCCTGTGTCAAAAGAGCCCTCACGCTGGCCTGGAAGGCAGCAGGCAGAGACCATTTCATTTAAAGAGGTTGTAAACTCCAGTGCTATAAATAGATTCTCATGTGTACATACAGCTTAGCTTCAATTTTCAGATGGCCTCATGCACCCACTTTCTGTGCTACAAAGAATGCTTCAGTGAGTCAGATGGAGACAAATGGGAGAGCCTCAGGGTGCATCCCTTCTCTTGCATCACAACCTGAAAATTAGATGTTAGGCATGTGGATACAAATGTGCTGAAGCTTGCTTAGACTATACCTGAGAAAGTGGAGGGTGTGATCACATATATTGACACTGTATATTTCCTTAAGTCATGTGAGGGCTACATTTATCGTCCTGTGGAAATAACACTGTTTATCTAATTAGGATCTTTGCACAGGAAATGTGGTGACACGTCAGCAGGCTTCAAAAGCATGCAGCAAACATGAGAAACAGAAGCTTTTTTCCCCCAAAACTACAAATGACTCAGAAAAAGAAACAACAGAGAAATTTTGGACATGAGAACAACAAAAAAGTCAACAGGAGCCTGTGCCCCAGGATGTAGAGTTGTCATGCACTGGCAGGGCATTGACCTATCCTCAAAGAGCTGCTGGACTGAGCAATTACCTGTATCTGCAGCCTGACAGCCAGGTGGATGCCCAACCCCAATTTGCCTTTGGCATCTTGTGGTTCTGGCTGTGGACCTATAAATCCATTAGGCCTTTTTTGTCGACTTGTGTTTCAGGAACTGAACCACCCTCCCTCAGAGGGGGCAGTGCGACTCTGTGCTCAGATCCCTTCCACTTAGAAGTCTCTGAGGCCTCCGTGCTTTCCTCACATTATACTAGAAAATCAGAATTCACTGAGTTTAGTAATTCCCGACGCTGAGGAAAAGTCAACTCAGGTCAAGCTTTATAACACTTCATACATATGGATGCCCATTGTGCTTCATCTTTGTGCATGCCGCAAAAAACACAAAACAAAATGCACACACACGGGCATATGCGTTCAAGCTTTTCCCTGCAGAAAAAAACTCATCAAATACAGCAGAAAATAGCAAGGTGGACGCTGGATTGACAGCTTATTTATTATTATTTCAGCTGTCTGTCATACTAGATGCACATTCATCTGTCCGACGATACACTGAGAAAGCCCGAGGCAATGTAAACAGATAGTGTATCCCGCAATAAAGACAAAAACATTACTGCTAGCTCTGATTTTTTTTCATCTACCATATCAGCAGCACATCCTCATCACCAGGACCACTTCTTTACTTTCATGTAGGAAGCTGAGAACAAACAGTGTTTACGTCCCAGCTGTTGTGGCTCTGAGCTGCTTGTGCAACCTGTTTCCATTTACTTTGCACATGTGCACACGGCTGGATTATAAACTGTTTTATTTCCAAAAAAAATGAGGCTTTATTATCAAAATACTGCACCTAGTCAAAGAGTAGCGCAGGTGTCTGCCTGACCTGATCTAAATGAGACAATGAGGGCAAAAGGTGTTTCTAGTAAGGATGCAGCCTGTCTCCTTCTATTGCTTATGGAGCATTAAACTTCAGGTGAACTCTGGGGTTCAGTCAGCTTGTAACTCGGTCTCTCGCGCTCTCTCTCTCTTTCAAACACACACACTAACACACCAGTGCACACAGACACCCATCTAAATTTCATGATTTCTCCTTATGGAGGAAGAGCAGAAGTAGATATTAAAAAAATACCATGGCAGACCATAAATGTGACTCAAGAATGAGGCTTATCTATAGTACTGCAATAGCAGACAGCAGTCAGGTGATGGCAATGTTGCATTCCTTTTTGCAAGCTTGATTGTTCTCTTTATAACTTCCCAAAAGCAACTCTTTAAATTTCATATGAGAGATTTTGCCCAAAGCACAAGAAGAATCAGAGGCAAAAAGGGCACGAGCAGATGCAAACACCCTCCTACAATGAACTCAGCGAGCACCTACGGTTCAGCCAGAAATAGGTCACAATAATCATCTGTAACAGCTCAAGTCATAACCTTGAAAATTCAGTTACAAAATACATCCCTGGTCCTCAGTATTCTGGATGGCCTCAGTCAGTGTACTTAAACCATTTAGCTCTGTAAAACTGGTTAAACTTACAGCAGAAAGAAAACATGCACAGTCACTCAAAATGCTATCAACTAAGAGCAGAAATGCTTTCCGGCTTTAATTAATTACAGTTTTGTCTATAGG